GTGATGCAACCGCTCACCACCGGCCAACCGACACCCAGCCAGTCCCAGAGCAGCAATCGCTGCTCTGTGGCCAACTCCCCCCAGTTTGTATACTGAGCATGACATCATATGGTATGGAATATCCCTTTTGCCAGTTTGGATCAGCTGTCTTGGCTGTGCCCCCTCCCAGCTTCTTGTGCACCTGGCAGAGCATGAGAACTTGAAAAGTCCTTGACTTAGTGTAAGCACTACTTAGCAACATTATTATCAACATTATTCTCATACTATTATTATCAACATTATTATCAGTGTATTATCAACATTATTCTCATACTAAATCCAAAACACAGCACTGTACCAGGTACTAGGAAGAAAATTAACTCTACCCCAGCCGAAACCACTTGTGAAGTACTTTGTCACTGTTGTAAAAGATGTTTTCTTCTAACAATTTGTCATTGTGCATTTAAACAGTTGGAGTTTGGAGCAGGAGACCTTCAGGGACCTCTCTTTGGTCTGAAGATATTCCGTAATCTTACACCAAGATGGTAAATATTAGAAAAATGGTCTAATGGTTAATATTCCACACTAAGGAACTAAATGGCTTGAATTCTCTTCCATGTTAATTTGGGTTTTTCTATCCTACAAAATAAGATATTTCTTCTTTAGACTTAAGGTCGTGCGTTAGTACTGATCAAAATGCTTGTATTCTTTTGGTCTGTGGGTGTCTCCCACATACTTCATTTTCATACTTCCATTTTAAGGAAGGTCTCTATTCCACATCCCTAGATTTGTATTTGATCTTGTCATGAATTTGTGATACTTGAGGCATGATCTCACGATCAGAGCAACAGAAGTTTGCTCTGGCAGCAGAACAAAAAATTGGGGAGCTCTTCTGGGGCTTCCATGCGTGAGATAGAGTTTCTGATAGTGAAAGAGGAGATAATATGTCATATTTTAGGGAAATAATGCCAAATTTGCCACTAGTGTGGTGTCTGTTTACAAATGAATAGAGGTCTCAAGTTGCAAAGGAGAGTACAAGGTAAGGGTTGTGATTGAACACATATGTTAGAGCATTGTAGGTGCCAGTGTAGACTTCCTTCTTTTTATATTTTCTAATTTAGTAAATATGCCATTCCTCAGAGCTTATACAGGGATCTTGTTCCCTGTAGAGTCCTTTAATGCTGTTTTTTGGAGCTGATGCTTGAGGATTATTAAATAGCAGGGCTGCTATCTTCTAGCAGCCAAGTGTGCTGCCTCTACAGAAGACCAGGACTTTATCTGCCTAGGGCAAAGGCTGAAGGGTAGCCTGCTGCGTTGGCTGCAGTGTTGTGGCACAGACCAATAAACTAGGGCATGACCCTGTTCTTCTGGCCGCTGCTGTGGTCAGTACAGTCTAAATTAGTTTTGAGTTTTTCCTGAAACCCTCAAGCGTCATGCTCTTTGCAGGATAGTCTCTGCATATTCAGCAAGGCTCCTGGGAAGGAAGGAATTTGAGGCCATCTGGGAGCCTGTGTGTTACCACTGATGAGGCTTTCCTTATTTCTCCTAGTTTCATCACTACAAACTGTGCCCTGCAGTTTTCATCCCGTGGGATCCGCCCAGGCCTCACCACAGTCCTAGCCCGCAACCTCGACAAGAACACGATGGGCTACTTACAGTGGCGGTGGGGCATCCAGTCAGCCATGAACACTAGTATTGTCCGTGATACAAAAACCAGCCATTTCACTGTGGCGTTACAGGTGAGAGGCCTGTTGCTGTATGCAGGGGACAGTGATGCCAACCCATGGGAGAGAAGTGCCTCAGCTTTTCCATTCCACCAGTATTTTGGCTTGGGACTAGAGGATAACAGAGCAGTTGGTACCGTCTCGTACGAACCTGTAATGTAGGTAACCAGCTGCATTTGGCAGAGCACGACACTTTGCACCCAACATTGTCATATCTAATGTGGATCAGCTCAGATTAGGGTCAGGATGCACAACACAGACTGCAGAGATTGCAGGCTGTGATGAGTAAGTGGCAAGCATTGCTATGTTTTCTGTGCCACTTAAAGGATAAGAAAGGAAATTTGGGGGAACGTTCAGTGGTGGCCAGGGGTACGTTTTCATACATTTGTGCCTCTTTTATTTCAGCTGGGAATCCCCCATTCTTTCATGATGGTCAGTTATCAGCATAAGTTTCAGGATGAGGATCAAACACGAGTGAAAGGTTCTCTCAAGTAAGTGTGCAAGAGAAAATTCATATTGCTCACAGCCTAAAGAATCTGTCCTCTCCTGCTGTTGTAGGCCTCCGGGTTCCATGGAAATCAAATGCTTCTGTGGTCTTTGGGAATCTGCTTTTCATTAATTTAATCTGGCAAATGCTGAAGTGAATATCTCGAAGGCTTAGCTTTGTGTACCTCTTTGGATAAGTGGAACTTAAAATACTTGTGTGTGATATCTCTATATCATCACCAATAAGAAAGCCAGAAGTTTGGGTAGTCTGTTTACTACTTTACAAGCTGAAAAGGCTAATCTCACCTTGTAGATACACAGTGAATCTTCCAATAGCCAACATCTGCTGCACACGGTTATATTTCCGTGTTTTACTTGGTGGGGAATTACAGGATTCAGTAAAGAGAAATTCAAGAGTTTTCCCTGTCTGACCTGTTTTTGGTTCTGTCATTCTAGGGCAGGTTTCTTTGGGACCATAGTGGAGTATGGAGCAGAGAGGAAGATCTCCAGGCACAGCATTTTAGGAGCCACCATCAGTGTTGGTGTTCCCCAAGGAGTGTCTTTGAAAATCAAGTCAGTTCAAGATTACAACTCTAGATTGCAGAGGCTGACCGTAATCTGCATTATTCTATTTCCAATATTCAGGTGGGAAGGTCCCAATCTTAGGTCAATACAGGTATATTGATATATCACTATGAAAGATTGCAGCTGCCCTCACCTCTAATACAAGTGGTGCCCGTTGGAAGCAATGTGTGCCTTCTGCCAGTGTTACTCTGAGCCTGAGCCACCTCTTTTAGGACTAGTGTGGGTGTGCATCAAAATATTCTGAAAATACAGCTTAAAGTAAGGTTTGGAGCATTATGGTAAGTGGATGGAAGATTTCTGAATATATTATTAGTAGAAATGGATTTAATTGCATTCCGTTTTTATAACACTGTATGCAAGTATATACTTGAATTAGTTATCGTTCACTAATATAGGTGATGATTCTATTAATAAGATGCAGTTCACAAAGAGGGGCAGAACCCTTTAAGGGTTCATATACTGTAGTGCACTTTTAATTGGTGCCAGCAGAGGGCGTGCCAGGATGCAGAAACTGTAAAGACATGAAGTCCTCTGTCCCAAGAAAACTAATGTTTTCTAAAATAAATATTATTATAAGCCTCAGAAAAATATTAATGAACTCCTTCCTTGAAGGCACATGCCAGTGTTGTGAGCATAGACCTTCTCTATAAGCATTTTCTTTTCTTTTGATGATGATGTTGGTCCCTTTCTCTGGTGAAATTAATGACCGAATAAATTCTCCTAAGATTAAAAAATCACTTTAGAATGGCCAGGTACTATCACAAGAGATGTCTGCTACATAAAAGTCTGGCTCTGGATGGTGTCAGCTGCCTGTCTTATCATTGTCTTGTTTCGGTTTATCAGAGTTTCACCTTTTTGAGTTCGTCATTCATCTCTCCTTTGGTTCAGCATCAGCAGCATACACTGCTGCTAAGGGTACTTAATCAAGCACATTAAACTCTGTGTTTCTTCTTACCTGTCATTATGTTCTTTTTTTGTTCCAGGTTGAATAGGGCTAGCCAGACCTACTTCTTCCCTGTCCACCTAACAGATCAGCTGCTTCCCAGTGCTGTATTCTATGCCACCGTGGGACCTCTAGTTATCTACTTTGCCATGCATAGGCTAATCATCAAACCCTACCTCAGGGCACAAAAGGAGAGGTGAGCTCGCAACACTGTGTTTTAAATTCAGAGCTGGGAAGTCCCACTGAAGTGCTTCTAGGAGCCTGGTGCAAAGGCTGGGACATCCAGCTGAGGCACTGCGGTTCACTACATCACCAATACTACTGAATTCCGGAAGCCTACAAAAATATCTTGAAAGGTGGGGAAAAACCTTAAAACCGAGCTCATTTGTGTGAGGTTGTGGGTCAACTGTAATTGGGGTGGGTAAGTAGACATCTGCCACTTTGTGGCTGAATCCCATCCACTGTGTAGGCCTGATGTGATGTTAACTTCCTTATGCCAGAGAGCTGGAAAAGCAAAGGGAGAGTACAGCCAGTGACATCCTTCAGAAGAAGCAGGAGGCTGAAGCTGCGGTAAGTCTTTCCCGTAACTAATCCCGCGTAGTTAAAGGAAGCTCTTTTCAGTCTGTGTTTTTCCCTTTTGGACACAGTGTCTGACACTGCTTGTTTTTTGCTCTGCCCCTTTTGTTGTGACAGGTCCAGTTAATGCAAGAGTCTGTCCGGAGGATAATTGAAGCGGAGGAAGCCAGAATGGGTAAAGATTACAACACCATTTACTTGTTCCATAAATTTGGAGAGAGGAAGGAACAACACAAAGGCTGAGTGGTTGAGGGGGAGAAATGCAAGGTATTGTTTCTTCATTTCCATCCCTAATGAAGCACAGCGTAACTGCTGTTGCGCATGTAGTGGGGAAGTTCCATTATGATTTGGCTTCTGGTGCCTGAGCTTAGTAGGGATGCACTGAATATTTTTTTGGGACGTGCTGTGAGGTGGATCAAAAGGGTGAAGACAATAGTCTGGATTCATCTCTTCACAAGAGAAAGGTATGTGTATAAATATGTGCAAAAGTTGTAGCCTGAAGTTTAGGTTTCACTGGTCTCTAGCTTACACAGTTTGCTCCTGGATTGTAATGGAGATCAGAATTCTGACGTTTGCTAGCAATTTCCAAGAGAGTGTTCCAAAGTGCATTGGCATCCACTTGGACTGTCACATCAGTGTGGCACTGAAGTCATGTCATTCTGTCCTAGTACTGAAAATTGCTAACAAACACCCAAGTAGAACTGTTCTTCTGTCTTGAGAAGCATGGGTCCAGGCAGAGAAAATTTAAATATTGTTGAAAGCAAGAGAAAATGCCGGGATGGTCTTTTCATCAGTGTCTGCCTAGCTGTCAGTGGGAAGCCTTTCATCACATTTCATGTGAATGCAGGTTTGATTGTAGTGAACGCCTGGTACGGGAAGTTTGTTAATGACAACAGCAGGAAGAATGAGAAGGTGAAAGTAATAGATGTGACTGTGCCCCTGCAGTGCTTGGTGAAAGACTCTAAACTCATCCTTACAGAGTCATCCAAGGTACGTAGCTGTTCTGTCAAAGCCCAGACTCAAGAGCTCAATCTTGTGACTCAGAATTTCAATTGAACTGTATGCTCTCCTACCAGGGGGTTTCTCCAGTGTGCTTGAAGCTAGTGACTCTAGATCAATTTACAGAAGCCATTTACATACCAAGTGTTATGAACCTCCAGGAACTTCTCTTTCTCTGGGCATTTCCAGTGCCAAAGAAACGATGTGTTACAGACTCTGGGGCTGTACACCAGAAATTTCCCACCCCCTGATTCGCTCTTTTCTGCATTTAGAACTTGCCACTGGGGAGGCGATTCCTCAGCTTCTTGTCTCATTTCATTGGCAACAAGACTCCTTTTTTTTAATGACACCTCATTTTGGCATTAATAAATGTTTTTGAAGAGCTGTGAAAATCCATTCCCTGATGCTCAGTTTGTCCTTCTCTGGTTCAAGGCTGGGCTGCCAGGTTTCTACGACCCCTGTGTGGGTGAGGAGAAGAGTTTGAAAGTGCTTTATCAGTTCCGAGGAGTTCTGCACCAAGTGATGTCAGCTGACAATGAGGCCCTTAGGATACCAAAGCAATGTAAGTAGCAAGGACCGCCCTGCTTCTTCCTTCAGGAACCAGTAAAGGATTGCTTCAGCTCTGTGTGGTGAAGCACACAGAATTGGGCTTCTGGGGTTCAGAGCTGGGGTTACTGAAATGGACTGACCATGATATGCCTCTGGAGTATGACCTAAAACAGTTCAGCAGCACCACTGCAGCTGTTTATACCATCTAACCTTATATATCTAACTGGAGTGAGAAGCAGAGGCCTCCTACAGCTGCTGGCGTCCCTGCTGGGCAATTCACAGCACTCGATTGCCCTTTGAGGACTGAATTGAATGTATGAAGGTATGGTGGAGGCCTGAGCTAGATTTCTTCTTCATCCCCATTTATCTATCTGCCAAAACATTTTCCCTGCCAGAATAATTTTGTGAAACCGGTATCTGCTAGTGAGAAGTTTTACTGGTACCCCTGTAGGTCTGGGGAGTTGGCTAAAGGGCACAAACCTCGTGTTTACTCTAGACCAGCTCCCTGGCCCAATTTAAGAAGCATATCCAACTTACAAAGCTTCCATAAGTACATTGGAGGTGTATATGAATCGTGTTCAGTTAGCAGCCAGAAATGTTCCTGTCTCTGCCTGGTACAGTGGTAAGTTCAAACTAGACTTCTGTTCATCTGACAGCAGTGGCATGTATCCATTTATTGTTCTCATCCAACAGCTCACAGAATCGATGCAGATGGCTAATCTGGTCAGAGTGTGCGTGTCCATTACGGTACCTGGGTCAATGGAAACTACAAAACCTTCCCCCGGACGCTACACGTTTGAACAGAGACATTTTTATTTTTACTATCCATATAGCAGGTGGTGTCCTACCAGTTATGTTAGGAGACAAAATGAGAGAACCTGCTTCTACAGGTGGCTCCAAGGCAATACTTCTCTGAATTGTGGCTCAGTAACCAATAAAGCAACGTGACTCTGAATGCACAGTACTTTCTGCTGAGGTTGTGTGAGTGGGCACTGAGCAGCACCCGTCATGCAGCCATGTCTTTCCTGCTGCAGTTTGGCCACAGTCACACATATATCTTCTTGCACTGAGCAGGGAGGAAGACCTGTTGTTCTCACTTCTCCACATACTTCCTGGGGTAGGTAACATGCCTTTTTCTGCTCGTGAGTGGAAGTTAAGTTCTCTGGCCACCTCCTGGAAGGCCTCTGTGTAAATCTTTTTGTTGGAAAGAGGACAGAGATTGTTTTCCGTCTCAAATCTGTATTTGAAATGTACTTGTTAAGAACAGGTATGTTTGAAATGAAGTTCTTTGCCTTTTGTAGTAACATGGACCTCTTCAGCCAGTTGCTCATTTCAAACACTGCTATTCCAGACAAGGACACGGGGTGTAATAGTCTTATTGATTCTTCTGCCACCTAGAACCATGTACTATCAAGGTTTTCAAGAAAAGAGGAAAGCAAGCAGGGGAGAAGGACAGCAATTCATTTCATTTGATTCTGACGCTGCAACTATCTCTTCCAATCTAATTTATTTCTAGGAAAAAGAGGAACGTAGTTTATACAAGTAAACCAGACCAAAGTGAGGAGAGATGCCAAATGGGTAAAGAGCTGAAAACGTAAAATTCAGCTGCCCTTTCTAATAAAAAGCATCAGTTATGACATAAATCCATTGGCTTAATCTTGCATAGAAGCCTTGCCAGTGATTTACCAGCAAAAAGGGCAGTCCTGTTCTAGTGACACAGCAGATGGAAACGGCAGCCTTATAGTATCTACTACACAGTGCATACGTCAACACTACCAAGGCTTTTTCATAGAGAAAAGGAATAATCGTGGCTGTTTCTCAGTCACAGTTCTGCTCTTGGTGAGTCCTAGAGCAGCCTTCATTGCTTACATGTGAGAGACAGAGGGAAAAAAAACCTATCTTGGCAGTGCATTGTTGCTCTTGACAACTACCATAAATCATTTCCTGACACATACCTGGCCCCTTTTTCTGTGCAACTGTGGTTCTCTTTGCTCAAGTCATTGTAACAGGAGAATTAGATTTCCAAAAGCAGACTTATTTGAGCCAGTCTGAAAGAGATGCTCCCCGCCCTCTAAAAAAACAAGTTCATACAATTAAGGGGTGTTCACTTTGTTTTATTAAAAACAAAAAAACCCTCTTCAGTTGTAATTAGCTCCCGGTGCAGGATTTTACTTCACTTATGACCGGTGTTCTGTTGATCTGAAATTAAATGTAAAATGTGCAATAAATTATATTCAGCTGAAAAGCAGCCCATGTTCCCTTTGCATCTGTAGGACACTCTTGAAAATAAACTCCTGAAAAGCAAGGGTTGCAAGTTTTGTAAATGTAACTGCACCCTCTGTCACATCCTGCTTATTTCCCTCTTTTGATCTCTTGTATCTGTAACTAGTTGAACCGGGCAGAAATCTCCACCAGAAATTCCTTTTTCATGTTTTGTCACTGCATGAAGTGTATGGTCAAGAGTGAGAGCCAGTCTGTAGTGACTAGGATGTGGCAAAATACTCCCAGGAGGAGTACTGGGAATTGAGTTTTGCATAAGCAAGTGCAAAATGGTGACAACACATTTACTGCTAATTACAAAGAAGAATCTTGGCATAGCCCTGTAACTAGCAGAGCAATGACACTGCAGAGTGTTTTCATGAAAAAAGTTTGCACAATAAAACAATTCTCGTTTCTGACTTCCTGAGATATAGTTTCTGCTGTCATGAAAGTGTTTTCTTGCATATTGTCTACATTAAAATGTAGAGAAATAGCCATGTGATTCTAAAAACTGATTCAGTACTTCAAGATGTTCCATGGTATTGCTACACTTGAAAAATAACATTTCTGAGAGGCAGAGTGCATTGTTTCTACTCCAGCAGTTAAAACCTGTAACAGGGTGGCATCTTTGGGTGCAAACTTTAAAATGCGATAGAAACATGAGGTGACACATTCATCTCTAATTGACCCAGCAAATGTGTAAAATGAGAATATGGGAATGCATGCTAGTCTTTTCAGCCAGAGCCTTTAAACCGGAAATTCTTGAGGTGAAGATACAGGTTTAGGATTTACTTTAGGTTTTACTACAAGAGTCTTCCCTTGTCTTCCTGTGCATGCTCTCGTCTTTGACAACCATGTACCAGGGTGGCCCAGCCAGTGGAAGGCTACAAGGACCAGAGCTCCAGGCACCAGTTCTGCTGTAAAAACCATCTAAACCTCCTCCTGTGCAACTCAATCAGTACGTTCATACCTGAAGACAGCTCAGCTGCCTGGCCAGGGCTTGGAGTCAAGCAGGTGCTTTCTGCTTAATCACAGCTGTGTTCTTGTCAGAGAACTGACTTGGTTCTCCTGCCTTCCCCCTCTATGCTGTCTTCCCCTAGCACCTCCGAATTATCTTTCTCTCTAATTGCAAAGAAGTTTGTGCAAGGGATGAACCTTAACTTTGTACTTCGAACATTTGAATTTGTGACTCTTGTTAAAGTAAAATCCGTCATGATTAATCCTGACACAGGCCTTGCCCCGTTCCCTGGCTAAACATCATAAAAAGTATATAGCTTGTTTTTTCCTGTCAGATCAGCCCACCAAGGATTCAGACTCTTGCTTTTCCCTTCCTTTCAAGTACCGCAAGTGCCCTTCCATGAGGCTGCTGCAGCAGGTTGTCTGCAGTAGTTAATGCGTGAGCTCCATTTTTGCTTCTCTGCAGTGTTTGTAATTGTCAAACGTTGCTGAATTGTGTCCACACGGTGGAGTTCACTGCCTGTCCTGTCTGTCTCCTCCCTTGGAGCCGGGTATTGGGTCAGTCTCTCCTGCTGAGTACTTACTGCAGCCCACCTCCTCCTCTCTTCCTTATTTTCTATCAGTGCAATAAAGAGATTGTAAGAATAGCCCCACTTGAGAAACGGCTACTTTCAACACCATTTCTGCTCTGTGAGAAGCTGCCATTTTGCAGCTACAACTCCTCTGGGACTTCTGTTTATCACTCCATATAATACAATATTAAAAATAGAATTAAAATAGAAGCTACAAGCAAGCAGAGCTTAGCTTCTAATATGATCCAGTGCCATTTCCAAGAGTTGAGCCATCTTTTAAGTTTGCCAAAGTGTTAAGGCTGCTGCTTTGAATGCACATGGCTGAGCAGCAGCTGAGGTTGTGGCATGTACAGGAGCTGAGGGGTGGCACCAGGGCACCAGCATCCCTTTGGTGGTTTGGGGTCCTCAGGGCTGCCCTGCGGAGGGACAGGTGGGAGGGAAGGAGCTCTCCTTCAGCACAGCTCCCAGAGGGTTAAGGGATTTTGGTTTGGGTCTGGCTGAGCAGGCCAGTCTTCGCGAGGCAGGTGCAGCACAGCCCAAGGTCTGTTTCTGAGGCTGCAATGCCTCGTCCTGCAGGGACCTGGCTGCAGGCAAGTGGGACAGGCATGGAGTCACCTTGGCCAGCAGTCTCACCTGGTGTGATTTGCCCTGCCCCACACCCGGCTTCTACCCACCAAGCCTGCCTTTCAGGCGCTCTCCACAAAGGACCCCTGCTAGGGCTGCGCACTGCCAACACCGTAGGCATCCTGACCCAAGCTCTCTCGCCCCGGGCTTGCACCAGCCTTCACACCTTTCGGCAGGTCCCTGTCAGCGAGCACAGTGCAGCGTCCCGGCTGCCTTTAGCCACTCTGGGCTCCTGCAGCAGCAGGCATCGCCTGCCTCCCATCGCTCCACCCTGCCCCGTGCTTGTCGCTGCACCAGTGACGGGGCTCCACCACAATTTACCTTACTCACAGCAGAGGCTGGGCAAGGAGCAACTGCTGCAGGGAGAGGTGGGGATAACTGTCAGCACATGAAAGATATGTTTGCAACACTTCTTATCCATACCTGACTTTGTGTATCGTTTAGGGAAGAGTGCTTGAAGCGTCAAGTCTTGCTGCCGCCTGGCACAACTGCTTTACACACCAGTAAATCATAACAGCAGACTCCTGAGTTCGGAATAAAACAAAATCATTGTTCACTTGTTTCACATTTAAGAAAAAAAACGTGGTTCATTAAAACAGTTTTAATGAAAAAATAAAGTTCTGAATTAAACTATAATTATACATGGCTGAAAGTGATGAACTAAAAGAATGGAGATGTTACTTTTTTTTTTTCTCTCTGCTGATATTGTAACGTGCTGGACTTGTCAAACACCATCTATTGGGATAAATCTGAAAAGGTAACAGAACAAGAGTCAGTCTCACATTGATTAGTATCGAACCTCTGTGAAAAAGAGGCAGTTTGCTTGGCAGTTTGCCATTTCTCCCATAAAAGCTTCAGGAAGGCATTCCACAGAGGTCCAGTTGAATTGCAGACACGCTGTAAAGACAGAGATACCAATTTTCAGAGCAGGTCCAACCCTTACGCAGCTTGCGACCAGGATCTTCCAAAGCCTTTCTGTTTGCAGAGTGAAATGGCAGCATTTGAGAACTTTGGTTATTTTTCTGGCTGCAAAGAACAGTCAGGCAGCCATCGGGGGCAAGTCTTTGGCAAACTCCTTGGTGGTTCCACATAGCTTCTGGAAGGCAGCGTACCACAGTCATGGTCTTAAGGTTTTACAGAAGCTGGAGCTGGTTTTCAGAACCCAGAGTCACTTGTTGCAGCTTGGCAGAATGGGATTTTTATAAAGAAGCAGGACTGAAGAACAGTTGCACGTTGTACAGCTCCGTCATCCTGACCCAGGCCTGCAGACCTTTCACACCCCTGTGTCCCACGCAGCGGAGCCCCAGGGCACTGCAGTGCTCGACTGTCTGCCTGAAGCTTTGGCAGCCCATGTCAGACATCTGAAGGAGGGTACCTGACTGTGTACTGGAAGGACCCGTGGTCATCACCAGGATGCATCTCCTGATGAGCCAGTACTCGGATAAGGCGGTGGTCTAATGCGGTGTATCTGCAGGACTAACGTGGACACATACCTCGCTTCAGCTGCGGCACCAGCCAGTGACTCCCCTTGCCTCACCGTCTCACCAGACAGAGCACACATTGTTCATCAGCCATAACTTCAGAGAAATACCTTGAAATGTAAACCAAATTTGTGCAATACATACATCTCGCTCTGTTTGGTCATCAAGGAACAACGCCGCTATCTCAGTGGCCTTGCGTACAAGCCTCGACTCCCCATCATGTTTCTGAACAGATTTCCCTCAGGCTGCGGCCCCAGGAAGTCCCGTCGAGGGACCGCAGCATCGGCGGGGGCCTCGGCGCTCTCCTGTTGTCCCCCGCATGGGACGGATCTTCATTGCACTTCATCTTGCTAGCTGCAGAGCCTGCATTTGCTTTTATCTGTATAATTTGCAACCAATAGGTTAAAGATTCCGTTTTTTTGATTACAAATCCAGTCTCAAAAAACAAACAGTGAAAACAAAAGTCAACTCAGCTATAGTACTCGGATGGAAATGATCAAATCCCAAACCAGACCTGCCAGATTCTAAGTTTACTACGGCCCGTTTTACAGTCCACATTTGAATTCTGGGCTGAGAAAAGGGAGAGTCATCATCTTCTTAAAACAGCACCTTAGAGTTTAAATGAAGGGCCGGGAAACAGAGCAAACGGTATCCCCCCATACACACATTTGAGCCGATCATGCAAAACAAAGTCACAAAAAATCACCGTAAGAAGAGACCTTCTAGGAAGAAATCTGATGTCACTAATCCCCGGCGCTGCCTGTCCAGAAAAAGGGCCACTCTCTTCCTTTAAATGCGCTGGTCTGTTGGCACAGGAAGAAGTCCCATTTTCACTTGAACGATGCCAAAATCACAGAACTCCCCTACTGCCCGGGCCCACTGAAGGGGAGGCAGATCGCGCAGAGGTCGGTATGCATTGATGCTCACTCCTATGGAGCCTTAGAATATCTAAGATTGATATATACGGACAAATGGGCAGGTATAATATTACATTAAAATTAAAACACATGGCCATTTACTTTTCAGACTCTTCACACAGATTCCCTCCTCCTCCCTCTTTGGAGGAGGAGGAGTTTCCTAGCACAGAGGAGGTTTGCAGTTTCCTGATGGGATGAGAAAACATACGTGGCAAAGGTATTATACATTCCCCAGACATCACCCAATTCATAGTTGTAACCGGACAAAACCCCACCAAACCCAGAGAGCTTAGTCTGTCCCTTGAGCTAATCGGTATCTAGCAGCAGTTTTGACCAGTCGGCCTCTTCCAGCCCCGGCTGTCCACGACTTGGCGATTCCTCGTCCCTGTTAGCGCAGGCCAGCTAGGCAGCCCTTCAGCCTGAGCAGCAGCAGTTCGGGGGAGCTCTCCCCGGCCTCCTGGCCAGCGTCCGCAGCTCGCCCGCCTGCCCAAGCAGCGCACCAGCACGCGCCTCCCTCCCCTAGTCCAGAAAGCGCCTGCGCGAGCCCGTCCGGGAGCGGTTTGAACGGCGAATGTCAAACTTGGAGTCCCGGCACTTCTGACATATGTAGACCTCTGGGACGTTCGACTTGCGGATTTTGGCGCAGGAGAGGTGGATCCAGGTGTGGCACTCGTTACACTCGATCATCGGCCGCCCGGCGAAAGGCTTCATGCAGAAGCAAGTGACTAGGTCCCACGAGTCGTCATCTGCAAAAAGAAACAGCAAGCTGTGTTTTCAACGGTCAACACCTCTCACCTGCACCAGGAATTTACTCTCGTTTCGTGCTAAATTAACTACCTGGGTTTCAAAGACAGGCACTTTGCTGATTTTTCGAGGTCTCTCTTGCACGGGAAGAGACTCTCAGCAGTACAAGAGAGGCAGTAATCCAGGAGAGGAGAACCAGCTGCTGCTCTAAAGTCACAGCTTTTCACTCAGTTTATTGCAAAAGCAGCCAACCAACCCCCCCTTCCCCACAAAAACCCAGCCACTACTTAATTCTGCCCAGGCAGTGCACCTTGGCGTTATCCTTATGCTACAAGTAAAGTACCAAAGAGATCGGCAAGAGCACCACTGCTTCCACATGGCTAATCCTCTTTTGACAGCCAGGCCACCTACCCGAATCCACCATGATGTCCTCGTCGTCGCCGGTGCCGTCCTCATCCCGAAAGACCACCTGCTTGCCCTGCCGAATGACCGTTCGTTTGCCCACGCTCTGGATCTCCACTGTCTGCTCAGCCGTCACGGCAGGGTAGGAGACGCTGGAAGGCGTGTCGGAGTCCCACACTGAGCAGTGCTCAGTCGCAGACTGGGGATCGCCCTCAGACGAGGGGCTCATCGGTGTCTCTACGTAAGAGTCCTCCGCCTCCAGCTCCAGCAGCTTCTCCTCGTAGTCCTCCTCTGCAGACACCTCCGTTTCCCTCCTCTTCAGCTTTTTCTTCTTCCTGATCTTATCGATTTGCTTTCGCTCCGGCAGGAAGTTGCCAGGTTTTGCCCGCTGGAACAGGGAACCATACGGTTTCGCTCGCTTAAGCTGACTAAAGTTCTTTCTGTTCTTGGCGGGCAGAGAAACAGAAGAGGGAATGTCATTGAACCGGGGATCCCAGCTATCGCTGTCAATCGTGCCTCCGGTGCTGTTGGGAGGGCTGGGGCTATTCCTCAGCGGCGTTTCCTGGAAAACGTCAAGCAAGCGGATAAAAACATTAATTTGGAGCCGACTCGCGTGCGGCGCTGAGGCATTGCGCCCTTTCCCCTGAGGCGCTGCCGATCTCACCCAAGTCCAAGCTCCCGCTCTCCCCACACGCCGCCCCATAACCTGCGCTGCCGCAGGGATCTCCAGCTGGGCAGAGCCGCAGCCCGGAGCTACCCAGGCCCCGGCAAGGCTGTCGGAGCGATTCCGGGATCCGTACTTTTTTCACCCCGCCCAAAAAGCAGCCACCCATCCCATCACTTCAAGCCCTCCCAGCTGCGGTGGTTCCCCCTTTTGTCTCGGATTCGGCGCGGAGGCGTAACCTTCTCGCCGCGTCTGATTCTGCTGAAAAGCCCAGCAGACGCTGCTGCGCAGGACCCGCTCGCCCGCGGAGGGCGCCCGCCCGGTGCCCCCTCACCTCCTGCGGGTAGGGGATGTAGCCGGCGTAGGCCAGGACGAAGGTGCAGAACTTGTTGAAGTCTTCCACGGTCCGGTGCCGCCGGGAGGCGGGGGAGAAGTCCTGCGGGGGAAGAGGGGGGTCAGCGGCGGCCGCGGGGCCGGGCACGGCCGGGG